GCAAGTCAAAATGTAGGGTTTATTTGTAAAAAGCAAGGGAGTGGATTTTTTTTTGTGTGTGTGGCTTGACAGCGAAAGAGAGAAATATGAGAGAATTCTGTTACTGTATTGCTAGCCATATTAAATACTGCTTTTGCTCTACATGCAAAAGGTAACATGTTTGGATAATTCCTGGTCAGGTTATGAAGCTCTGAAGGCACCTTCCTTACCCACAGGTACAGGATTTTGAATAATATAATTTTTGGGTGTTAAAAAAAAAAAGGCCTAGGTATGGACCAAAATAATCAATTAAGAAGTAAAGTTATTTCTTAGCTCTCATTTTCTTTTAAAAAATGTGTAATATGGGTATTGTCACATTAGAGATGCAATATACAACAAAAAATAATTGGGGTAAAATTCTTCTTTTAACTTGCAGACATTTCTCTCTCAAAAGATAAATACAAAAACAGGAACATCTCAGAATGAAAGACCTTTCATTCCTAGAACTCTGATGATAACACTATATCATGAGAAGCCCACAAAAAAGATGTAGAAGGCTTAGCACTTTCATCTTGACCAAGATTCAAATAAAACATCTTTACCACATATGTATCTATGTATAGACAGAAAAATAACAGTATTTACAAGTATGGCAGCGTGGCATGGTGGTGCAAAGCACCACAGGTTTGAATCCTGGCTCTAAGAGTTAATAGTTCTATAATCTCTGTCAAATTCCTTAACCTGTCTGGACTTCAGTCCCTCAATGGTAAAAGAGAGGCAATAATTATGATTACCATACAGGTTTATTTTGAGCAAAAACAATTAAAGGACTTTGAGCAATGCCCAGTACACTGGGGGTGTATAAAAATGTATACACATGACTTGTAGTCATCTTTTGTTATTGGTAGATGAGAGTATTACAATTTTAGTACAGTTTTTTTTTCCTTTCTTAAAATATGTACACATTTTTTTTTGGCACCCTCTGTATATAGTGTTTACTACATGTTAGCCATTATACTTTATGTTACTTTTCTAATTGAATTCTTATGGCACACCTGTGGGGTAGGTATTACTGCTCTCATCCCATAGGTAAGTAATTTGCCCAAAGTCCCACAGAGATAAAGCAGAGTTTGACACTGCATCTGTCCAGTTCCAAGCCTATGCAATTACTTCTACCTAATACTTGACATGTTTCCCATAGGTCTTGCTCTGATGTCATCAAATCATTTATCAAGATGTATTTAAATTGCCTGTCCTTTCACCCTCAAAGTAAACTATATGAGGAAAAAGGCTGAGTCCTGTTTACTCATTTCAGTCCATGAGTCTACTCCTGCCCACTCCTCCAGGTTTCAGCGCTTTTGTGCCAGGCATTGTTAGGCGCTGGGATACCATGCTGGGTAGACAGACAGGGTTCCTGTCCTTATGGGACTCAAAGTCTACCCCAAAATACAGATGATCAAGTAAATATGTAATTATAAACTGGTATAGTTGTAATGAAGGAAAAGAGCAGGGTGTTAGGAAAGAGCATAAGAGATGAAGCTCAGCTGAGGGAAACCAAAGAAGGCCTCTCTGAAGGGGCGACACAAGCTGTGATGAGAGGGCTGAGCAGGAGTTAGTACGGCAAAGAAATGGGGGTATAAACCACGTGTGCTTAGGGCTTGAAGAAGAGACCTTACCTGGTGTGTGAGGAAGGGAAGGCCAATGTGGCTGACAAATGGTGAGCACGGGGCAAGTGATACGAGGAAAGGTGGGAGATGGGAGAGACCAGAGCACACAGAATATCAAGGATTTGGGAGTTTATCTTTGGTACAATGGGAATTACAGTTGATTTTTTAGAAAGATTACTCTAGCTGCACTATGATTGGACTCTAGATTGGAAAAGGGCAAGAGAGAATCTGGTAAATCCACCAGGATGCTCAAACAGTAGATGAAGGGAAATGTGATGGTGGTTTGAGACTAGGAGGGTAGTAGTGAGGGTAGGGAAAGGTGCATTCAAGGTATAGTGACTCTTCCATGCCTAACCCACTGCCTGACAAAGAGGAATTCAATAAGTTGTTGACTGACTGAATGAGTGATTCCTCAGTCAGAAATGTTGCTGGCTGTAAGGCATCCCACTAACCCACATATGCATGACGTCCCCCTGAGCAGTATAATTATCCAATGGACATGACAGACACAGGAAGATGTTGAAGAAATTACTATTAAATTTACAAATCAGCTGGCAGGACTCCACTTAGGAAAACCTTGTGATGTGTGAATGTGTCTTAGTAAAACAAACTGCCTCTTCCACTCTGACAATGGAAAATTTTAGAAGCCAGGTATCTTTGTAAGTGTGACTTTTCAAGCTTGTGAGAGAAATGTGTTATTTAAAATAGCCTGGAGTCATGCTGTTAGATACACAGTGAAACACTAAGGGTGCTAAAAGAAAGCCTTTTCATTTAAGGGGAAAAAAAAGAGCTGCGGTTAGACAATCTATACTCATTATTCTACTTTTTTCTTTATAAAACCATGGTCTCTGTCATTACTTCTAAAACAGAAAATATTTTGATTATCTATTAGCAACAAATTCAAATGCAGAGTTAATATAGTTTCTTATAATCCGATAAATTCACCACATCAGGACAGAGAATGTCTTCCCTATGCTATTTAATAATTTTGACCTTTTATCTTACCTTTTATATTTATCTTGCTAAAACTATAAAACTAAAGCCATTTTTAAAGTCCAAATATTTGTCCATGTGGATATGAGAACAAGAGAATTTATGATTATAGTCAACTGAACTCAAATTCTAATCAGTAATCCCATCACCCCTGGAAATATTTTCCCATCCTTAAATAGGGCAACAGCATTAATAAGAGGGTAACAAGGAGTAGTCAGGCTTGCTTATAACAGCTGCTCTCTTGCTAGACTAAGTTAAAGCTAAGATACCTATCAATTTCTCAGAAATTAAAGCTTTAATTATTAATATTACTAAATTAGTTAAAACAGTATATTGCGTAGGCTAGGGTGATAAGTTCAAGTGTTTGGGGGCACAAATAAAGCTTAATTTTGCACAGAAAAAATAGTGAAGAGTGTTCATCAGCAATAGCTTCAGCCAAGTGTCTTGCAAGCTTTGATCAAAAGACCACCCACCAGCATGACCACACTGAAGAATCTCAAAGCCTAAGTGGTAGAGATAAGGAGACTAAGAAGGGCCGAATGGGAGTTCTCTGTAAGAAACTTAACAAGATTAAAAATAAAATACAATTTGCCTTCTTCCATTTGGTAGAAAACCATTGCCCCTACATTGAAAATACAGCTTTACATGGTGGTACTCTCTGTACATTTAGAATATCTTTAGAGTTCTTGAAAATGCTCTTTCTGTAGAACCAGAAAAAGATACACAAGAGCATCAAATAATATTTTGGTCCTGTTACTGTAAGAACTATTTTAAATAATCTTGGTGACCAAGGCAGACAATAATAGAAAATCTTGGTAGTACACGGGGGCTTAAAGTTGAACAAAACAAAGGTATAAATTGTTTCATCGATCCTTTATCACTCAAGCAAACAAGATTGTATATAATTAGCTAAATTCATATTTTACCAACATATGCACAAATTGTTAATATTCTACTTCACATAAACAAAGAGAAATGAATTCAAATTTAAGTTATTCCCGTTTTATGAAGGAAGCTCTTCTTTCTGAGGTAGATGAAAAGCAGGCTGTGGAGGCAGGGCTGACTATGGGACAAGAAAACTCTGCCCCTATGAAATTTCTCACTAGGCCTCAAGGCCAGACACCAAGGTGGGATGGACAATCAACATGGCCATGGTTTCCACCTGCCAGTGACCCTATGACTCATTATATGCTTGTTATAATGCATTAGCATGCTAAAAGACACACCCTGAACCACCACTGTCAGAAATGGATAAACCATGAAAGGACACAAAATGTCCCCAACAGAACCCTTTTGGGAAATCTCCGCCCTTTCCCACAAAACCTTGAATATTCCTCCTACAAATTTGAATGTACAGCGCCTAAGTAAAGAAACACTGATAATAGGTTAAACCCAGCTGTGTCTGTGGAGTAATCTGCTTCTTCCTTCTCCTCTCTTGAATAAACTGATCCTTGCTTTACTTTTCTTTTGGCTGGTGCCTGAAGTCTTCCCTGCACTCCACCAAGAAGTCAAGAACTCACTGCTCCAGGACCCTTCTCTGGGCCTCCCAGGGTGGAGGCATCCCCTAGCCTCCTGCAACACTTTCTTAGTTTGTACCAGTGTAACTAGTACAACATTACCTTCCTTAACAGGGAAAACCATGTATTCCAGCAGGGAAAATAACAGCCTAAGCTTAGACCGTGGACAGCTATTAATTACAAAGAAAAATGAGAAAATATCGTACCTTAAATGTAATGTTGTAATGAAAGTATACAAATGTATTAATTAAAATCTTAATGATTCAATTCTATATGAGTATACAAATCAAATGTCTTCATTCTCAGAATCATCTCAGACAACAAATAGCGCAATTGAGTAAAAATTGTAATATTCTCATTTTTCCTAAACAATCTGTTCACAGCAAGGCCATTTAAAACAAATATATTCAAAGCCACCTATGTATAAACAAAAAGGACAAATATTTCTAAAATAAACATACAATGAGGTACTTCAATCATTTTTAAACCAAATGTAGTTTTGAATAGTAGACAGTACAAACATAATATCACCCCTATTTGAACCAAGATCTCAAACTTTTGGATTTTTTATTTCTTTAAGTTATAGACTGTTTATTGCCAAATTCACAATCCTTTGATGTTTTCTTAAACAGATGAAATTTGCTTCCTCCCCCTAGGGAAATGCCAGACTACAGTGACATCTAAGAAACACGATTGAATTAATTTAATTACTTCATGTCGACTTAATAAGTCACTGCTCTTTAATGCAAAAACTGCCACTTGTAATTAATGACTGTTCATATTGCTCCAATTGATCAAATGTCTAATACACATAAAACATTGAAAGAAGTTCTATATATCTTACAGCAATTCAGTGGAGAAGTCTTGTCCCAGGGGTATGTAAATTTGAAGTACAAGAAACCTCTGGATCAGTCCAACTAGAATGAGAGGGGGAAAATATACATTCAAATATCCAAACCATTTATATGTGCATATAAACAAACACAATCACACACCATCAACAAGCTCAAGCTCTTAGTATTTCAATAACATATAGAACTACAGTAGCACTACCCATGAGTTACAACCTTATTATGAAAGCAAAAATTGATGAAAAGCAAATCAAACTCTAACAACAAATGTTGCCTTTTAAAGTCCCATCTGTGGTCTTGTGAAATTTTTATGAAAATTTAAAAAGTAATTTTTTATTTACTATTTTCATCAGGTTGTGAGAGAAAGTACACATAAAACTGCATTCAATAGAGATATAAAATTGAACTACAGATTCCCATCAAGGCCACCATAAAAGCATGTGGCAATTCTTGTTATTCACTAACAGTTTTAACTACACTAAACGACTTGACTAAGATCAAGAAAAACAATTCTAATTATAACAACTATAACCGAAGGTTTGATGAGCCGTATCTAGTTTATATAGTTTTAAATACGGTGTCTACACGGAGATGGATGAAGGAACATATTTTCATTTATAATACCTTTCATTAATTTAACACACTTTTAACTAAGTTAATGCTCACATATTAAGAACTGATAACTTTTATTCTCCGTCACCAGCTTCATCTGGATTAAAAATATTTGCAGGAAAGCCAATCCCTATGGCACTTTTGATAGGTGAAGTCTACAACTGCTTCAAAAATCAATTGATTTTATATTATTCTTCAGACTCATTCACTTAATTCCTTTCCTCTTAGGTTTTGGCCTTTCGCTTGATCTCTCAATTGTGATGTTCTTAGTGGGTGCTTTAGTGCTACTTCCTCCGAAAACATGCCTTTTAGGAACTTTTTTCCTGATATGGGACTTTGGGTAGGAAATGGAGATTTCTTGATTTATCTGTGAACCCCTCCTACAAATCTAATAGTACAGGCCAACATGTGGATAAATGAAGGCAACTGGTTTAAAATGCATTTATTTTCTATTCATTCGGACTTAGTAGGCATAACAAATATAGGTACTGTAAAGTAACAATACATGTTTGAATAGTCTATATGAGGACCTTCTGATTCATAATTTCTTTGGTAAACTATTTTACAACATTCCTGAACAACTTAAACAGTTTCTTATATTTTATCTGAAATTTAGTTTCTAAAAAATAAACATATTTAAAACAAAACAAAATAAAACATATTGGATCCAATATGCTTAATATTTTTAAATCAAACATAAAAAGATAACTTGTTTAAAACACTAAGATTATTATAAACTGTTCCAGAGAGTCATCAGTAGAGTAAGCAATACAATGAAAATAGAGAATAACAGGTTCTGACCTTAGAAAATTCTCTAGGAATCAGATTCTACCATATTTATGGGAAAAGCTGGTGAGGTAACCAGGGTCCTAGACTATAAAACTAAAGTAAGATACCAAAATGAGGCCAACCTAAATAAACCACCATTAATCTCTCTCTTGCATCTTCGATTGATGGGCCCTATAGTATTTTTCCATTGCACAATGGCCTCTGTAAATAGAGCTGAGAGAGTATCAGAATAAATGAAATCAGTCTTTACAAAAGGCCCCAATTTATGTCACAAATCTCACTGAATCAGCAATGTTCTCCTAAAACACAAAGGGCTCCACATATGGGCCATTTTTATATGAACATTTTTAGACATGAAAGACACCTGCCCTCAAAAAAAGAAACCTTTATAATTCAACTTTCTCAATATAGAAGCCCTAGCTTCCAAAAGGCTTCACTTCTAAGATTAAAAGAAGTATGAGATTACCATATGGTGATGATCTGATAAAGAAAAAAGTGCTGTAATAACATTTGGCATACTAATCCTGTGTGTCAGAAGAGCTAAATAAACTCTAGAGTAATATTTTTCCAGTGGCATAGTAAATTTAAACTGACTCTTCATGTCTATATATATTTAAAATCACTGTAATGCTGAATGTGGAAATATTATTAGTAAAAAAAAAAAGAATAGACTTACCATATGACCCAGCAATCCCTCTCCTGGGTATCTACCCAAAAAATTTGAAAACATTTATCTGTAAAGATATATGTGCTCCGATGTTCACTACAACTTTATTTATGGTGGCCAAGACATGGAAACAACTGAAGTGTCCTTTGATAGATAACTGGATAAAGAAGGCGTGGTATATATATACAATGGAATACTATTCTGCTATAAAAAAAGATGAAATAGTGCCATTTGCGACAACATGGATGGATCTTGAGATTATTATGTTAAGCGAAATAAGTCAGACAGAAAAAGTCGAGAACCATATGATTTCACTGATATGTGGTATATAAAAATGAAACCAACAAAGAAACAAGACAAACAAACGAAGAAACAAAAACTCATAGACACAGACAATAGTTTAGTGGTTACCAGAGGGTAAGGGGGAAGAGGGGTGGTAGATGAGGGTAAAAGGGGTCAAATATATGGTGATGGAAGAAGAACTGACTCTGGGTGGTGAACACACAAGGTGGTATATATTGGGTTGTCGGAAAATTCATGACGCATTTTTGCAACGAAAAACATAGAAAAAATACATTCATGACTTTTCCGACAGCCCAATAGATGATGTATTACAGAATTGTATACCTAAAACCTATGTAACTTTACTAACAATTGTCACCCCAATAAACTTTAATTTTAAAAATACCTATCAAGTACATAAAATTCATATAAATTTAGTCTTTTACTGAAATATGCAGCTGCAGTTTTATAATCTGTTTTGTCTGAGACAAACTACTGCTATTTTTAAGGGGTCAGGTCCTTTTTTCTTTTGAATAATTTAAAACATATTTGAGTGGTAAAACACTATTAAATGTTTAAACAGTAATTCTACAGTTATTTCATTATAGCAAATGATAGTTGTAGACCTCATATACATTTTATAAGTGTCACATTGTCCAAAGAGTTGGGACAAGACCACAGTACAGTCATCCTTTATAAGTAACCTGATAAATCAGGATGGAAGCTATTTCCTGGTTCCTGTTGCAGCCTCCACACAAATAGCACACTAAAGTGCACCTTTCCCACTTAAACACAGAAGACAGGAAACGATTATGCCTTCGTTAAGGGTTATTCCACATCCCTTGGGCAGATTAGAAAACCTGTCTGGGCCCTTTTAGTTTTCCTGTGTAAAACTAGGTTAATAATTTAGATTTACAACTCATAGGATAATTTACATGGATTAAATTAGATCTATCATTCAATAAAGATTCATCGAACATCTACTAGATGCAAGACTCAGTATTGAAGTTTGTAGTGAATGAGACAGACATGGTCTCTGTCCTCTTGTAATTTATATTCTAGTTTCATGAAGGAGGTCAGAGTGCTACCAAAGCATATAATCCCGGGTTGTTGGAGGGAACAGGATGATGAGTTAGGTTTTCTTAAAGAAACAGTGTTGGAATTCAGCTGGAAAGAATAATGCAGGGGTTGACTCAGCAAGGAAGATAGGGGTGAGAGAGGAACAAATTTTATAGGGAGAGGGAATGTTCCATCATGTGATGAAAAAGGCCATAGTAGGTCAGGTGAATTTAAAGGCCTAAAGGGCAGGTAGGAGAGACAGAGGGGAAAAGCAGCAGAAAGTCAGTCTGGCAAATAGCTAGGAACTCAACCATTCGGGGCCTTGAAGGCCATGTGAAGGATATGAGTAAGCCTAAAATCAATGGAAGCCACTCATATATATATATATATATATTCATTAATTTATTCAATATTGATTTACTGGATGTCCACTATGTGTCAGGCACTGTTACAGGTGAACAAAATAGATTAAATGTCTGTGCTGGTGGGAATTACTTTCTGTGGGTGGTGAGGAAAACAAAACAAAACAAGACACCATAATAAATAAATAGCATGGTAAATAGTGGTAAGTACTGTTGGGGAAAGTAGAGCATGGTAAAAGGGATCAAAACTGTGGAAAGGACCTAAAGCACAGGTCAGGGTGGGCCCTCATAGAGGAGATGGCATTTTAGTAATGGCCTGAAGAAAGGGAGAGTGTGAGTCACGCAGCTATTTTGGAAAAGAAAGCTCTAGGCAGAGAGTACAGCTTGTGCACGGATGCTAAGGTCATAGGGTATCAGGCTCTCTTTGAAAAGAGAAAGAGACCTGTATGATTGCAGCAGAGTGAACAAGGAAAGAGTAACAGGGGACAAAGTCTTAGAGTTAAGAGGGCACCAGATATTGCAGGGTCCTAGAGATGTTTGGTTTTTACTCTGAAAGAGATGGAAATTTTCAGCAGAGCAGTGCCTCTCATTTAAAAGTATCACTCTAGCCTCTAAATTGACAATGGGAAGCAAGTCAGAAACGGGAGGCCAATTGGAAGACGACTGCAATATTCCAAGCATGAGATGACGGTGGCTTGGACCAGGGTGGTAGCATGGGAGGTGGCAAGTAGTAGTAGTCAGACTCTGAATCTAATTTAAACATAGAAGCAACAAGATCTTCCTGATGGACTGAATAAAGAGAAGAAAAATCAGGCTGATTTAAGAATTTTTGGTGTGAAAAGTAGAGAACACAAGCTGCTAACAACTGAGATGGGGCTGTCTGCAGGAAAAGGAGGAGGAGTTTCTAGGGTAAAGCTGTCCAAGTAGAAATGTCAAGTAAGCAACTGAAAATACAAATCTGGAAATTGCGAGAGAAGTCTAAGCTGGAAATGTAAGCTGGAGTAAGACAGAGACGGTATGCAAAACCATGAGACCAGAGATGATAACCAAGGGAGTAAATGTAGATAGAAGGTCGAGAACTAGGTTGGGTTGGGGAAGAACCATGAAAAGATACTAAGAAGAAAGACCAGTGAAGTAGGAGTGTGAGTACCCTGGAAAATGAATGAAGAAAATATAACAAGGAGGGGGGAGTCAACCTTGTCAAACGCTGCTGGGATGTTAAGTAAGATGAGGGCTGAGGACCAGCCATCGGATTCAGGAATGCAGAGATCACTAGTGACTTTGACAGGGGCACTAACTGTAGAGTGGTAAGGGCAAAGCCATTGAAGGGTTTTAAAAAGAGGACGTCATAATGAGATTTATTTTAAAAAGAATACTGAAGTGGGGGCAGGAGGAGTCCTGGTGGGGAACCTCATAGAGATGACCTCATCCGCTAGAGCAGTTGCAACTTAGATCAATATAAAGATTCCGGGATGCTGATCTGGAGAGACATACCAGTAGATTCAGATGCCACAGACAGACAGAAAAAAGAAGTATCAAAGATGACCCTTGAACACAAATAATAGATGTTTATGTGCGACAGAGCTGCTTCTCATATGGACAACTCTATGCAGGGTGAAGAGCAGCATGGATTGATTTATTTATCTGACTAATGATTTACTCAAGTCTCATTATCAAGGTCAACTGGTCAAAATGACAAATTTTAACCTACATTGTTATATTTCTTAATGTGGCAAATTTAAACACCAACTACATACAATACACTAAGTTAGGGGTGCAAAATAGATGATGCAAGATTCCTGCACTGGAGAAGTACACAATCTGATAATCAACATCACTTTCCTTTATTTGATAAGAAGCTGAGTAAAAAAAACAAAAAAACAAAACTTTGACATATTCAGAGATGCTCAAATGTAATTCAGAAATATTACCATTTAAAATGAAAAGATAAACACATTTCATTATTAAGCTTTCTTCATAAGTACCTAATACGGTAGGAAACACATATGAGGTACCTAAAGTCAAGTTTGCATAAAGTGGATGTTTACTCTTAAAAATAGAAATACATAATGATAACTGAACTGAATTTAGAAATGTTAATTGAAAGCCAATTCTCTATTCAAGGCATGCCATTTAATTTGAATTTAACCATAACAACTTCACAAAGAAGGTTGTTTCATACGAGAAAAAAATAACTATAAAGTTTTGTTATCAAAAATTACATTATTATAGGACAGGCCATAGAAACTGTTTAACTTGTGACAGTGCTGCACATGCTACAGCAGAGCCAGATTAATTTTTAATTACAAGGCATTGTACAAGAAACACATTAAAAGATTCTTCTGTTTCTTCCAATTAAAACTATCATCTTTGCATTTATTATAAAAAGCAATTATAACACATTACATTTTTTATTTATAGAAAATGTTAGGTAGAAGTAGGAGAGTTTGTCTTTAGTCATTGAGACTTTAATAAAGGGGAAATATTTTTCAGAGTCAACTGAGAAAGGTTACTATAAGTAATTTGATTTTGTCAATAACATGATCTGTACAGAGATGCTGAGGGCATTACATGGAAGTACAGGCCAACAATAAGAAAAAAACAAAAGAACACAGGTTTAGAATAAAGTCGTGTTCCTGCAAATCAAATGTATCTATTTCACAAAGTCAATATAATATCATTAAGAAAGATGGATCATGTCTCCTATAAGAAGAATAACCTACAGCTTCAGACACATTTCCCTGGCTCACCTTAGTTCATCTCATTTATATGTATACATTTTTGAGAAAATGAAAAAAACTCTGCTATTAAAAAAACGGGAACTATGCGGATTCATGATTTTTAAATTGTAGTAAATTAATAAAATATTTTAACAATGATTATTCCTTCTCTTTGAGGTTCTGTTTATTTTATTTTAGAAAGAAACACTGGCAAACCACTTTAAAATGAATCATCTTCCATCTATAATTTCTATGGCTTGGTTTACATCTCAGAAATCTAAAATATGATGTAGTAGTTTGAAATGGTAGACAAAGCACAAAGTCTATGGAAGTTTAGAAAACTTTATTTAAAATGAGAAAAATCAGGTACCAAGAACAGGTATTTGCATAGTACTGGTACACAGTAGGTATTCAATAAATGCTCTTAATGAATGAAGAAATAAGTACGTGATGAATGTAAAAAATACCGGCTACTTATATTTGCTACATCACCTAAAAACTACAGTTAAACTATAGGACAAAGTTGATGAAAATCTGATTAATTATTCTGAAGAATTATATGTCTTAAATCACTTTAAGTTTATTTAAAGCCTAATTTGGTGTGAGAGCCTTGAATTTTAACCCCAGTTCTGCCAATAAATGGGCTTCTGATCTAAATTTAGGTGATCTCTCAGGGTTCCTTCTGCTTTAAAATGTTGATCCTAATTTTCAAAGTAAATAAGAATTGACATCTACTCTTTGGGCTTTTGTTGAAACACATATTACTATCTATATTTATTATTTAGTTAGATATTTCTAACTAAAGGTATGTAAGCTGATGTGTCACTAAATAATGCCTCCTATTTTATATAATTTTTTTTCACAAATTAATTTCCTATAATTTAGGAACTCCTGAGTTTATTTCAAAGCGTAGCCTTAACTACCTGATTTCTTGACGAAGAACCAACCTCAGTGTGCTCACCTATAAAAGAGCTATTGTGAGGATTAAAAGAGTTAATAAATGTGAAATGCTTAGAAAGTCATAAGCACATAGTAAGCAGTCAACAAATACCATTATTATTATAATTAATGGCTACTAAATATTTTTTTAAATCTTAAAAATATTGTTATATTTCTAGTAAACAGTGAGACAGAATTTTTTTTGTTTTTGCAGCCTGGCATAAGGCTAACTTTCTAAATAATAAAAAAAAAAATCCTACCACTTCCTGTCAACAGCTGCCAATAAATGTCAAATCAATGCCTATGTATGAGAATTCAAAGCATAATTTTTTTTAATGGAATGCTTCACGAATTTGCCTGTCATCCTTGTGCAGAGGCCATGCTAATGGTTGTGTGATTCCAAATTTAGTGTACGTGCTACAAAAGTGAGCACTTAAAAGCATAATTTTAAGCATCAAATGTTAAGTTCAATATTAAAAATCTTACTTACGGATTTGCTTATTCTCCTTTGGTAACTGAATTTTGTTTGTTTGGCTGCTGCCTTCCAGGACAAACACAAAACTTTTAACTTCTTTATCAAACTCCTATAGAACAAAAATGAAAACAGTGGTAATTAAAGCATATTTTATTTGGCTTCTATTAGAAAATTGGACCTTCAAACGCATAGGAAAAAAGTCCCAGATTCAAATGACTTAAAAGTAGGCTTCAGGCCTTGATGGTACTCTTACCTTGAGACTTGCTGGGAACTGGAATATAGAGCCACACTAGGCCACTTGGCAAACCCTCTGTTACATCAAGACACTCTTCCTCCAAATGGTAAGTTCTCCAAGTTTAGGGATTCCCAAGTTCCCAATTTAGAGTTTCCACAGTGTATTTACCCTTCCTCTCCTTTAATCTATATATTTCTGTCTAGCAACACAAGCTGAACATCACTCCCTCTTACAATACAGTAAGTCTTGAACCTATGCTGTATCCAGACTGGAAGTTCCTTGGCTTCTGGCCATGGCTCATGCAGGATTACTCATTGTCTTTTTTTCACTAGTGCTCTAACTTGAAGTTCTATATCATTTACTTAAACTCAGTACAAATTACAGTGTTACAATTAAGGTGACCTAATAAACTAAGGTCAGAGTAACAGAAACAAAACAAAACAAACATGGATATGAAAACCCTCTTACAGGTCAGTCCAATTTCCATGAGTCAAAGTGGGAATGTAAATGCTTATTTCTTTATCTTGGAGCAAATTCCCAATCTTTGAGCATAAAAACCACTTTTCCATATTAAACATTTCACACACCCTTCCACTCCTCATTTTTGTAATTGTTAAGGAATGCATTGTAACTAATGGCTACTGAGAATTAAGTAATATTTGAATTTGTATGATATCCATCACAATAGCATCTCTTATGTATTTGCAATGGACATACATATACCAAGTGTATTATTTATTCCATCTATACAGAAGTTAAAACCTTCCAACAGCTTACCAAAATCTTCAACATGGTCCATAAGCCCCTGTGTAACCAGGTCCCTACACGGTTTTCAAAATTTCATCTCCTGCTTTGGACTCACTCTTCTCTCTGAATCCTAGCCTTAATAGCCTTTTTGCAGTTTTCTTAAAAATTCCAAGCTCTCTCCTGACACAGAACTTTGCACATGCTTTTCCCTTTGCCTGAAACCTCTTCTCTCCAACAGCCCCACCCAGTGCCTCATTAGCTCTTGGAAATCAAATGTCATTTCCTATGGGAAGCCTGTCCTATCTCCCTGCTATCTACCCACTCAGCACCATTTATCTCTTATTCATAGCAAGAGCTGTACAATTTTGAGTAAGTCGCTTACCCTCTTCATGCCTCTGTTTTATCATCTATAAGAGAGGCATAAAAAAACCTATATCACAAGGCTATTATATAGATTATATAACATATGTAATGTACTTAACGCTGTGCTTTGCAAACGGAAAGCACTAAATTAGTAGGTTAAAAAAATTATCTATAGAACAAGATCCATCGAAAGGCATTTTTCTAAAATGCCTTTCATAAAAATGCCTTTTCTAAAGGCATTGATTGTATGGGAGGGAAGAGAAACAGAAAAAGATAGAGATGGATATAGGTTTTCAGAGCTGGTGGCCGCAGGTTGAGGTAGTTTCTACCTGATGGCATTGGTTTGGCATGAGGTCTTCTAGTGAGTGAGTGAAGAGAGCCTGTCTGGGTGTGGGTTGGGGCTGCGGGTAAGGAGTTGGTAGTTGAAGATCTGAAGATAATGAAGAAATAATTATTTTAGAGATTAAGAACATAACAGGAGGAGGGGGAAGGTTCAAGATGGCGGATTAAGTAAATATTATGCCTACTGTATCCCAGGATCACATAAAACTTACAAATAAATTATATAGGGTTGTCAGAGAAGTCACGACGTATTTTTTCTATGTTTTTCATTGCAAAAATGCATCATGACTTTTCCAATAGGTCAACCTCACAAATCATCTGAAGACCAGCTGAACAGAACCCCTATAACAAGGATATAAAGAAGAGGCCACATCAAGACTGGTGGAAATGAGATGAGATGCGAAATGCGCTGACCCTAAACCCACAGATAGTGGTTGAACACCAGGAGGGATGGGAGGGGTCCCAGCCCTACACCGAGCTCCCCAGCCCAGGGGTCCTGTGCCAGGAAGAAGAATTCCCACACATCTAGCAGTGAAAATCAGCAATGACTCTGTCTGCCCATCCTGGTCGGATGAAAGGCAGCTGGAAACCTTGACATTGTCTTGTGGAGTCCACACACAGACTCAATCGCTTATAGACACTCACCTGGTCTCTGGTGGAGGGGCAGCAGCTTGGGAGGCCCAGGGACGTGTGGGGAAAGACTGAGTTGTGTGCCTTCAGGTGCGAGAGCTGGAGGGACAGGAGTCATTGTTGTCCGTATGTGTAGCCTACACTAGAGCACCATCTTCTCAGGGTTGCACCCTGCCCCAAAGGGTCAAATCTGGGACCACATTGGTCAGGTGGAATCTAGCGCCTGTGCACCACCTTGGTGATGCCCTGGGTCCCCCCTCCCTTCTTCCATGGCTGGAGCTACATCGTCCTGAGCACTCTTGACTGTCGGGGTGCTGGCCCCGCCCTCACAGGCTGCAGAAGACTTTTTGCAGTGTTGGATGACCCATGGCTGCCCAGGAAATGTCTGCTGGGGGGCGGTGACTCAAGACATGCACCGCAGCATCTCTTGGGCAACTCTTGGTAAGCTGCGGGCCTGGGTAGGTGGTGGCTGACTGTAGTGTTCTCAGGGCATTTTTGTGGGGTGGTTGCCAGCCCAGCACCAGTGTGGAAGCTCACACTGTATTGACTTTGTAGAAACTACCGATCACAACCCTTAATTCCCAAGAGCCCCACCACAACTACCTAGAGCTTTAATGTCAAGGGAACTTTAAGCTCCTGGGTGGCCAGCTCTGCCCCACAAGTTGGGGAAGTCTTCTGCAGTGGCAGATGGCCCAGGACACTCTGGAGAGCTTTTGGTGGTGACCCATAACCTGTACCTCAGCCATTCTTGGGCAGCTCTTGGAAATTTCCAAGTCTGAGGCTGGCTGAAATGTTCTTGGGGCAGTATGTGAAGTAGTCACAGCCCAGGCACTGGTGTAAGAAATGAATCTGCATTAATTTTGTTAAAACTAACAGCCATGTCTCAGGACTCCCTGGGACCCAGCCCCATGCAGCTAGGGCTGCATCACTGGGGGCACGCTGAACACCACCAGGTCAACCAGCCTGGCCCATGCACCTAAGGAGGATCTTTCAAAGGCTGGGTTTTATGAGCAGTCAGTGGGTGGCAACAGCCAGTTAAGGGTTACGATCTAGGGCACAATGGGCCTTTTGCTAAGCTGCCACAGGCCCACTCCAGGCCCACATTGGTACCTCCAGGTCCAGCATGGGCAGCAACCAACCACATATTGCTATGTGGCTTCTACCAGAGAGCTGTGGGCCGGTAACCAGCAAGGCTAAAATTGGCCTGCATGGGAGCACTTCCCAAAAAACACCAACAACAACAACTTAAGGGGCCAGCTTAAGACCACACCAGAGCACTACCTGGTTAGCCCCACAAGAAGCACACCCAAAGAGGGGGTCTCAACAGGGACATGAGCCTGCAGGGGCGAGTCCTCCTCTCAGAGAGTCAGACCACACCCAACTACTCCTACACTGTGGGCGTAGCCAATCCTCACTGTCAATCAGCCCGGGAGTCAATCCCACCTACTGATGTGCCCAAAGTGAACAAGGCTCAATTGCAACATAACACACACACACACACACACTCCTGGAACACATGCACAGGAGATCAGGGAGACTATGCCACTGGACCACACAGGACACATATTACATAAGGCCACCCAGCAAAGACTGAGAGACATAGGAGATCTACATAACACACAAAAGCAAACACAGAGAGGCAGCCAGAATGAGGACACAAAGAAACACATCCTAACAAAAGAACAGGAGAAACCTCCAGAAATACAACTAGATGAAATGGAGGCAAAAAACCTACCAGAGACAAAGCTTAAAACTCTGCTATAACAATGCTTAAGGAACTTAGTGAGAATTTCAACAAAGATATAGGAAGCATAAAGAAAGACATAGAAACAAGAACCAGTCAGATATAAGGAACACAACAATTGAAATGAAAAATACACTAGAAGGAATCAACAGCAGATTAGATGAAGCAGAGGAGAGAATTAGCGATTTAGAAGACAAGGTAGCAGAAAACACCAAATTGGAACAACAAAAAGAAAAAAGAATAAAACACAATGAAGATAGTTTAAGAGACCTGTGGGACAACATCAAGTGTAACAATATTTGCATGATAGGAATACCAGAAGAAGAGAGGAAGCAAAGGATCGAAAACCTATGTGAAGAAATAATGACTGAAAACTTCCCTAGCCTGGTGAAGGAGAATGACATACAAGCCCAGGAATCGCAGAGTCCCAAACAAGATGAACCCAAACAGGCCCAAACCAAGACACATCATTATTAAAATGGCAAAGGTTAAAAACAAGGAAAGAATCCTAAAAGCAGCAAAAGACAATGAATTACTCACAAGGGAGCTCCCATTAGACTATCAGCTGATTTCTCAACAGAAACTTTGCAGGCCAGAAGGGAGTGACAGGATATATTCAAAGTGATGAAAAAGAAGCGCTTACAACCAAGAATACTCTACCAAGCAAGGCTATCATTTAAAACTGAAGGAGAGATAAAGAGCTTCGCAGATAAGAAAAAGGTAAAGGAATTCATTACCACCAAACCACTATTACAAGAAATGTTAAAAGGACTTTTTAAGCAGAAGAAAGGAGAAATCAAGCAAACTAATAAAAATAAAAAATATGAGTAATAAAATGTCAATAACTGTGTACCTATCCATAATCATTTTAAATGTAAATAGATTAAATGCTCCAATCAAAAGCATAGGGTAGATGGGTGGATAAGAAAACAAGACCCATGCATATGCTGTTTACAAGAAACCCACCTCAGATCAAAAGACACAGAGACTGAAAGTAAAAGGATGAAAAAGATATTTCATGCTAATGGAAATAAGAAAAAAGCCTGAATAGCAATATATATATTGGACAAAAGGGACTTTAAAATGAGGACTATAATAAGAGACAAAGAAGAACATTTCATAAAAATAAAGGGATCAATCCAACAAGAGGTCATAACCCTAGTAAGCATCTATGTACCCAACATAGGAGCACCTAAATATGTAAAACAAATATTGACAAACATTAAGGCAGAAATCAACAGTAGCACAATCATAGTAAGAGACTTTAACAACCCACTGACACCACTGGACAGATCTTCCGGACAGAAAATCAACACAGAAACAGTGGTCTTAAATCACACACTAGACCAGATCGATTTAATTGATATTTTTATAGCATTCCTCCCCAAAGTAGCAGGATATACATTATTTTCCAGTGCACATGGACCATTTTCCAAGACAGACCACATGTTAGGCCATAAAACAAGTCTTAATGATTTAGGAAGACTGAAATCATATAAAGCGTCTTCTCTGACTACAACGGTATGAAACTAGAAATTAATTATAAGAAAAAAACTGAAAACACACAAACACATGGAGGCTAAATAACATGCTACTATATAATGAATGGGTCACAATGAGATCAAGGAAGAAATCAAAAGATTCCTTGAGACAAATGAAAATGAAAACACAACGACCCAAAATCCATGGGACACAGCAAAAGCAGTGCTAAGAGGGAAATTCATAGCAATGTAGGCTTACCTAAACAAATAAAAAATACCTCAAATAAATAGTCTATCTTTACACCTAAGGCATCTAGAAAAACAACAACAGAAAACAGAGCCACAAAGAAGGAAATAAACATCAGAGTAGAAACAAATAAAATAGAGATCTAAAAAACAATACAAAAGATCAATGAATCCAAGAGTTTTTCGAAAAGATAAACAAATAGCAAAACCTTTAACCAGAGTCATCAAGAAAAGGAGAGGACCCAAATAAATAAAATCAGAAATGAAAGAGAAGTAACAACTGACACCAGAGAAATACAAAAAACTTAAGAAAATACTATGAGCAACTATACATCAGCAAATTGGACAATTCAGAAAAATACTGAAAAGTTCCTAGAAGCAAACAATATTCCAAGGCTGAATCAAAAAGAAACAGAAAATCTGAACAGGCCGATTACTACCAATGAAATTGTTTCAGTAATCAACAAGTTCCCACCAAACAAAAATCCTGGACCAGATGGCTTCACAGGTGAATTTTATGAAACATTCAAAAAAGAATTAACACCAATTCCCGTCAAACTATTACAAAAAATCTAAGTGGAGGGAAGGCTCCCAAGCATTTTATAAAGCTACCATTACCCTGATTCCAAAACCAGACAATGACATTACCAAAAACAAAACAAAACACACTGTAGGCTGATATCCCTAATGAACATAAATGAAAAATCCTCAACAAAATTTTAGGAAACCGAATTCAGCAATATATTAAAAAGATCATACACCATGATCAAGTGGGATCCATTCCTGGTCTGCAAGGTTGGTTCAATATCTGCAAATCAATTAATGTGATACACCAGATAAACAAAATGAAAAATAAAAATCATGTGGTTGCATCAATAGCTGCAGAAAAAGCATTTGACAATATCCAGCATTTCTTTATGATAAAAACTCTCAACAAAGTGGGAATAGAGGGAACATAATTCACCACAATAAAGGTCAGAGATGAGAAACCCACAGCTAACATTGTACTCCATGGGGAAAAGCTAAAAGCATTCCCCTTAAGATCAGGAATAAGACAAGAATGCCCATTTTCACCACTTTTATTCAACATAATATTGGAAGTTCTAGCAATAGCAATATAGAAAAAAAAGATGTAAAAGGCATCCAAATAGGAAAGGAATAAGTAAAATTGTCATTATTTGCATTTGACATGATACTATATAGACAGAGCCCCAAAGATTACACCAAAAAAACTATTAGAACTGATAAATGAATATAGTAAAGTAGCAGGATACAAAATTAATATTCAGAAATTGGTTGCATATTTATACACCAATAACAAACTATCAGAAAAACATATTAAGAAAACAATCTGATTTACAATTGCATCTAAAAATAAAATTAAATACTTAGGAGTAAATTTAACCAAGGAAGTAAAATACTTATACACAGAAAATTATAAGACATTGAAGAGAGAAATTTAAAAAGATACAAATAAATGGAAACATATACCATGCTCATGGATATGAAGAATTATTATAGTTAAAATGCCATACTACCCAAAGCAATATATAGTTTCAACACTATCCCTATAAAAATTCCAATGGCATTTTTCACAGAACTACAACAAATAATCCAGAAATTTATATGGAACTGTAAAAGACCCCGAATTGCAATGGCAATCCTGAGAAAGAAGAACTAAGCTGGAGATATCATGCTACTTAATATTAAATTATACTACAAGTCTAAAGCAATAAAAACAACATGGTATTGGCATAAAAACAGACCACACAGATCAATGGAATAGAATAAAGCCCAGAAATAAATCCATCCCTATATGGTCATTTAATCTATGACAAAGGAAGCAAGAATTTATTTTGGGGTAAAGATAGTCTACTTAATAAGTGACGCTGGGACAACTGGACAGATACATGCAAAAAAATGAAACTGGCCCACCTTCTTACACCATATATAAGAATAAACTCAAAATGGATTAAAGACTTTTAAATGTAAGACCAAAACCATAAAACTCCTAAAAGGAAGTATAGGAAGTAAAACTCAGACATTACCCTTAGGAATATTTTGACTAATATATCTCCCTGGGCAAGGGAAACAAAAGAAAGTATAAACAAATGGAACTATCACAAGCTAAAAAGTTTTTTCACAGCTAAGGAAACCATTAACAAAACAAAAAGACATCCTACCGAATGGGAGAAGATATTTGCCAATGATACATTTGATGAGGAGTTCATATCCAAAATTTATAAATAGCTCATACAACAAACAATCCTATTAAAAGATGGGCAGAGAACCTAAATAGAAATTTCCCCAAAGAGGGCATACACATGGCCAGTAGACATATGAAAAGATGTTCATCGTCACTAATCATCAGAGAAATGCAAATAAAAACCACAGTGAGATAACACCTCACTCCTGTCAGAATGGTTATCTTCAGTAAATCAACAAACAACGAGTGCTGGTGAGGATACAGAGATTAGGGAACCCTTGTACACTGCTGGTGGAATTGCAAATAGGTGCAGCCACTGTGGAAAACAATATGGAGGTTCCTCAAAAAATTGAAAATAGAACCTTATGACCCAGCAATTCCACTCCTGGGTATTAATCCAAAGAAATCCAAAACACTGATTGGAAAAAATATATGCATCCCTATGTTTACTGCAGCACAATTCACAACAGTCACAATATGGAAACCCAAATGCCCAGTAATAGATGATTAGATAAAGAAATTATGGTACATTTATACAACGGAGTACTACTCTGCCATAAAGAAAGAATTAAATCTTACCATTTGCAACAACACGGGTGGACCTAGAAGATTTATGCTAAGTGAAATAAGTCAGACTGAGAAAGACAAATACCATATCATCTTACTTATATGTAGAATCTAAAGAACAGAATAAACGAACAAACAAAACAGACTCATAAAGAGAACAAATTGATGGTTGCTAGATGGGAGGGGGGGGTTGAGGGATGGATGGGAAAAGTGAAGGGATTAGGAAGAACAAATTGGTAGTCACAAAATACAAGTAGTAATGGAGATGTGAAATAACAGTATAGGGAATACAGTCAATAATGTTGTAAAGACTATGTAGGATGTCAAATAGGTATTGGACTTATTGGAGGGATCACTTCATAGATTATATAAATGCCTTACCATTGTGCTGTACACCTGAAACTAATATAAAATAATACTGAATGTAAGTATAACTAAATATGTATATATGGTCATGAGATGCGAAGTGCAGCATAGGGAATATAGTCAATGGTATTATAATAACTATGTATGATATCAATGGGTAGTAGACTTGATGGGGTTATCCCTCTGTGAGGTATGTAAATATCTATCGTTATGTTGTTTTGTATACCTGAAACTAAAAAAAAGAAAAGGTAGCCCTGAAACAAAAACAAACAAACAAAAAAACCACAACAGAACTTTCTGGGCTTATTCAGGTTGAATGTACAGTATTATCAATCTGAGAAGCTGTAGGTATTTTCTACAAAGATACTGAGAAGCCCAGATGCAAGCACATAAAAGATAGGTAAGTGGGGATTCAGAAAGAACTGGCATTTGCTAGGTAGTCATGATGAAAGGACAAGGAGCAAGTGCATTCAAGGTCTTGACCAGGAAGTGATTGAAGTTATGCACTATGGATTCTGTGCTGGATAAAAAAGGTAGTGAAAACAGAGACAATACACACATAAATAAACACAGTGGAAAATAGAATGGCCAATGAACTAAGGGTCTCAATAAGGTTGAAAAACAAACGTAGTGTGAGTAACTGGGTAAGCAGTTAAGGACTGAAGATTGGGATCATAGAGGAATGTCTCAATTAGTAATTTTAGAGGTCCTGCAGTTCTGGTGATAAAGTACAGGGTTGTGACAGTGGGAATGGGTGCTAAAGTATAGTTGAAGAAGTCATGACAGATGAAGAAATCAAGAAACTGAGAAGCTAAGCGTTTGGAGAGATTTTCCTCATAGATACTTAAGTCGCCTAAAACAATAAAATAGTAGGACTTTGTGTACAGATAGGGGCTATGAGCCGTGTACCAAAGTCTTAAGCCATTGAGGAGTGGTGTCTGGGAGGACTGCAGTCGACAATTTCATGAAAGGATTTTGGAGTGAAGGAACAGAAATCTGACCAAGCCTGTTTTGTTATAACCGTCACTCTCATTTCTTTCCAGAATTTAGGGGGCTCTAATTTCTAAAACTTACTTTCCAAATCACAGATGGACTGCCAAGAATCTTCCATTTTGCTCCAGGATTTTTTCCCTGAGCACTAAAGATTTCAACGAATGCACCTCCCTAGAAAACAAAAATGAAATATTTAAATTAAAGTGAAAGACAATGCTAAGAAGAAAATACTACCCACCACATAATCTATAACCACTGTTACAGGCATCGGTCAGTTAAATAGATCTGGAAGGAAACATTATCCCTGTTATTATTCCTATGTCATACCTTGATTCTATCTAAGCCACAGCAGTTTTTATTTGGGTCACCCTGAATTACTGATTTAAAAAATGTTTTTAAAGCATGAAAAACATTAAATAAATTGTGCCATACAAACGCTGCATTCTCTAAGTGTGAAGTTCATTTATTTGACATATAGATCATGCTTACAAAACATTCTATTCAACCCAGACTAATAAATTCTGATAATTATCTTTGGCTGCAAGCTCTTTAGTCACACTGACCTGAACTCTAATGCCAGCTTTGCCATTTACTAACTATCTGACCTTGGAGTTACTTAACCTCTTGATTCTTCATCTGTAAAATGGGTTGTTGGATTACACAGAATAATAAACATAAACCATCAAGCATAATACCTCACATATAGCAAGAGCTTAATAATGCCAGCAATGGTTATTAGAAAAAAGGGCAAATAGTTTAGTACTGGTCAATAAAAAAGTTTGTGAGGGAGATAATGATTCTTATTTTGAGCACTCCTATAAGATCTTCTTATTATTTAATACAAATTAATTTACAAGAAAAAGAGAATCATATCTATAGATATGCTACATGTTCCCCATTACAAATGTGAGAAGACCATGGAAGGACATGCTTATATAAAAACACTAAACAGATTAGTGAATGTCCACAAGCTTTAATTATAAAGGAATTAAACAAGATGATTATCTCTGAGGAAGAGTTTATTGCAAGAAATTGAGAATCTGAAAAAAAGACTAAATGTGGTTTTCTTTAATGGCCTGTTTGAATTATAAGCAATGCATGAGCAAATCTGTCTGATTTCTGTAAAGAATTTCCAGATTTTCATTTTTCTCAATAATATAAAAATATTTTTGCTTCAGAGTTTTAACATGTAATGACTTGAAGTTAAGACATTTAATTTCTTCTTCCTTATGCAAACTGTGCAAACTGTGTGTGGGATAGAATTAGTATAGCTTCTGGGGTCAGGTCATATTTCACTATGAATTTAAATTTAAGGCATTTTTTTTTAAGAAATATCCTTATACCCAGTGAGATTGAAAACTGCCTCTCCATTTCTTTCTGCTTTCTCCTGTTTTCCAAGTTTCCCACAGTAGGTGTATGCTTTTTTATAACAATATATTTTAGAACAATTCCCTAAAATTGTTCTAATAATTGGAATAGAATAAAAGGAACTACAGAATACTGTCAGAACACTCATAAGAAGGCAGGTAGTGTTTGGTGAAAAGGTAGACGCAAAGAAGAGCTGGAGACCAGTGGAGGAACTGTTCTGGCACAGGGACAAAGTTGTTCATTCTAACAACAGGACTAGGGTGGAAACCAGACTGTAAACTCAGGTAGAGGTAGGGAGGGGAGGGCAGGAGACTAGGGCAAAGGAAAAGCAGGAAGGGAGATGCCCAGTGAGGTGAGGAAAGCACGTCATGCATAGAGACACTCTAGGATACTCAAGGTGACTGAGGAATACCCAGAATCAGTTTCCCCATTGTGATCTTTGGACCACCTGAACAGTAAGAACTATGGGAAGTTATAAAGGTAAATTAACTAGCCCCATCTACATAGATATTGATTCACTAGATCTGGGGTGAGGGTCAGGAAATCTGCATTTTTTACAAACACCCCAAGTGATCCTAATCCAGTGTTTGCGAATCACTGACCCCCCGTTTTGGGGGAAAGAAAATAGCATATAGTGCTTATTTTCTTTCTTTAACCCATTTATGAATTCACTTATTCATGCTCTTCTAAATAGCTTCTGACACACAGGTATGTATGCGTAGTGAGTACACAAGGAGCTTGTTAAAACTCAAGATTTATGGGACCTGCCCTCAAGATTCTGATTCAGAAGTCTGGTTGGGGTTTAAAATCTTCATTTTAATCAGAATCTCAAGCAATTCATACACCTTGAGAAGCACTGAGCTGGAGACTGAACAAAGTCAAATCATATGCCCAGACGTTAGTTGCTTCCTTCTTTTTTTTTCTTTTTAGGTGAAGACCACTCATCCATTAATCCCTTCTCACCCCGAAAAAAGACCGTATTATGGGGGAATGGGGGAAGCTTTGTCCTGACCCGAACATGAACTACATAATCTAAGAGGAGAAAGCTATAGACAGGTTGGAGAGCCGTTTCGGGTTACCTGGTACTCATTTTTGAACATTCCCGCAGGGGGCCTGGGGCTTAGGGACACGGAGTTCAGGGCTTCCAGCGCGTAGCGTGACCCTGACGGCTGGAGATCGGCGGGCGGGGAAGGGCTTGGTGCTTGGCTCCGACTGGGTCAGGCTCTTCTCAGCCCCCGTTCATCTCCACCTCGGGCTCCCGACCTGCCTGCACCATCGCGACCCCTGCAATCAGGGTGCCGGGGTGTGGGAGGGCGCAGCCGCTTGGACTGGCTCCAGACAAACCCTGGAGAGTGATTGCGTGCGTAACCTACGTGACCGTGCACCCAGCCACGGAGCTACCGACAACCGCCCGCTCGCCGGGAAAGGCAGGCGCTCTCCCGCCCCTCCCTGCACCGCCCCCAAATCCAATCAGAAAAGGGCGGAGCTGAGCGGCTCCAACATTCCGGCCGTGCCCATTGGCTCTGCGTGTTGCGCCGTACGGACTTCTCGCCAACGTGCACGTGTGGCTGCGCGTGACGTCATGTTACTCGAGCAACCGAGGGAATCTCTGAGAGACCGTGGGCAGCGCAATCTGAGGCGCGCGCTCTCCTAAACTCGTGACCTGTGTTCGCTGTAAAGCTTAAATTTAGCCTTGTTTCAAACCTACCACGGTGCTGGACTCTTCTAGAAAACATGTCACGTCGGCTTGGTCTCTCTGCGTTGTAAACACTGATAACTGGTAGGTTGCTGAAGGAAAGTCTTGGAATCATGTGGCCTTTGGTTCCCAAACTTAATTAGGTTCACTGAAACAGTAATAGGGTCTTCCAACCCCCTTCCTTGTTTTAGAAGGCCCAGGGAAGTGGGAGTGTTTATTCAGTATCACTGCACATGTTAAAATCCCAAGTGTTTTTGCTCAAAATCATTGCATACATTATTGAGCCAGGCTCCCTAAATTTAACTATATGCTTACTTCATTTAGTTTCAGTGCAGAACTACTCTTTTTTTTTTTTTTTAAGATTTTTGTTGGGGAATTGGGGGATGGGAACAGCGCTGGGGAATTGGGGGAAGGGGAACAGACAAGTTGCTGTCCTTTTGTTGTTCAGTCTAGTTGTGGTGGATGTTGCTTCACTGGCCCAAGTTGGCACCATCATTGCGCTCTTCCCGGACGAGGCATATCAGTCGCCGGCTTCTGGACGGCCGCTCACTGTGGCTGCTGGCCGCTCACGCTGGCTGCTGGCCGCTCACGCTGGCTGCTGGCCGCTCATGCTGGCTGCTGGCTATACACGGAAGCCCATGGCAACCCACGGCAGCCCAGCCCAGCTCCAGGTTGAGCTGTTGTTCAGCATCTTAGCTGTGGAGGGCAGTGTCACAGGCCCTCATATGTGGGATCCGAACCGGGGCCCTCTGGCGTCCCAAACCATTTCTTAACCATCGCGCCACTCGGCCGGCCCCAGAGCTACTCTTATAAAATAGGTATTGTCAGTTTTTGGCTGAGTAACTGTGGCTCAGAGAGGTAAAATAGCTTGCCCAAGATCATATGGCCTGTAAGTGATGGAGGTGGTTTGGAGCTCTTTTCTGATGTGCTCAGGGTTGAGTTAAGTCAGTGGCATAGGGTATTAATCAGGTACCACTCATGCAGCCACTATAGGCTAAGTGGCTGTGAACACAGGTTCACAACCATGTGAGGCAAGGGTTAGTTGAGAATATTCAGTTTCAGGGTTGATAAGGAATTTACTCAAGGATGCAATGTTGATTTTTGGTTATGGCTGAGCCTGTTATCATAATTCACCCAAAAGTCTCAAATATTTGTTGTCCCTACAATGTGCTAAGCACTAAGGATCATGTACAGAGTGAGAAAATGAATGCTATCTGTACTTGCGCCTTATCTGGGCTAAGAAGAGCAGATAAGAAACAAATTCGAACACACTAAGTCTAATACTAGATGTGCACAAAGATAGAGGTGGGACTATCACAAAAATGTAAATTGCAGTATAATATCTAGAATCCAGACTTCCTTATATGTATAATTTATACCTAGTTCAACAGTTTTTGTCAAGGCTTTGTGCTGGAGGTCTTTGGGAATTATGGCCAATACACATGGCCTCTCTGTCTTACAAGATTTGTTGTCTAATAGAGGGTATTTATCCATTCATTTAACAGATAATTCCTAGGATTGAAATATAGTCTAGATACTATGCTAAGAGCTAGGTTCAGAGGCAAGGCCCCCACCTTCTTGGAGCTTACATATTATTGGGGTGAGACACAATAAACAAATAATTACAACTTGTGATAAATATCATGAATTTAGTGATAGGGAATAACATTGGAAGGGTATAGTAATTTCCTGTGGCTGTTGTAACATTACCACAAATTGGGAGGCTTAAAATAACAGAGTTCACTCACAGTTGAGATCAAAAGTCTAAAATCAAGGTGTCACCGGGGCAGCATTCCTTTTGGAGGCTTTAGTGGTGAATTTGCTCCTTGCATCTTCCAGTGTCTGGTGGCTGTTAGCCTTTCCTTGACTTGTGACTGCATCTCTCCTTGGCCTGGTCATGCTACCTCTTCTCTGTTTGTGTCTTCGGGCCTGTGTGTCTTTTTTAAGGTCAGTTGTGATGGCATTTAGGGCCCATTTGGATAATTCAAGGTAGTCAATATTGCAAGATCTTTTAACTTAGACATATCTGCAAAGATACTTTTTTTTTTTTTCAAATAGGGAAATACACATTCCAGGGGTAGATACAGATATATTTTGGGGGAGGGACATGACATTCTTTTGGCCTAACACGTAAGGATAAGTTGCACTATAACACAAAGCAGTTTTTGATAAATGCTGTAAGAGAGGTAAACAGTACAATGAGAGTACAGGAGGAATCTAGGAGACATCTTAAGGCTTTTAACTATCTAATCTACTTAGGTTCCTGAAAAGGGTGTTTTGACACCATTTCTGAGGAGAAACCTATAACTTTGTCCTATGTTATTTTCTTTCTACCCCTTATTATCTGCGTTTATTTACTTATTTGTTTATCCTCTGTCTTTACCTATTAGAAGGTAAATTCCATGAAGGTAAGGACTTTTTCTGTTCATTATATTTAAGCTCCTAGAGTAATGCCTGACACATAGTTGGTATTTTGTAAACACATATATTTTTTTTTAAAGATTTTTATTGGGGAATTGGGGGAAGGGGAACAGACAAGTTGCTGTCATTTTGTTCTTCAGTCTAGTTGTGGAGG